GATTGGAAGATTATTGGTATAGGTATGAGTGGCAACACCGAGGTAGTGTGCACGTCCATGGAATAGGAATAATGTGAGACGCGCCTTTGTTTGATTGAGATAATATAAAAGATAATGAAGATGAGATGTCCAGGATTTTGTCACATTTTGACTCATTGGTTACTACAATTAATCCATGTCCTGATGCTACTGTACCTGTTCGCCATCCTTGCCAAAAAGCTAATGATGAATTATATGATGACTTACAGGATTATATTGAGCTAGTTAATAAATTACAGAAACATACAAGGTGTAGTCCTTCAAATTGTCTTAAAACTAAAAATAGTCAGCAGTATTGTAGATTTGGTTTCCCTAAAGATAATGTCGAGCATAATTTTATACATGAAAATGATCGTGAGCAACTGGAGCTGATTACGTCAAGAAATGATCCTTATGTTAATTCCCATAATCGTGTTCAGCTTCAAGGTTGGCGTGCAAACGTTGACCTTAAACCAGTTCTTAATATCCATGCTGCCTTTCAGTACGTCGCTAAATATGCTACAAAGTCGGAACTGTGTTCTTCATTTTCAGAAATTCTTAATAAGATTCTTTCCGAAAGTGATCCTTCTGGTTCTTCTCTTCTTTCATTTCAACGTTTATTGCTTCATACGGTTTCGGAACGTGATTATTCCGTCCAAGAAACCTGTTATTTACTCCTTGGATTACCTCTATACTATTCCAGTCGTACATTTGTTATTTTAAATCTTAATAATGAATCTCATCAGTGGCTTTGTGAAACTGGAATCGAAAATGTAATGCCAAATAGCGATGTTGGAAGAACGGAACGATCACCTGTGCAAAAGTACTGGGATAGACCTGTTGAATTAGAAAATCTCTCAATGTTTCAGCTCTATTTGGAATACAAGTTTTATAATGGTAAATGGAAAAGATGTGAATGTGAGAACGTGGTACATATTTGGCCAAGACCATCACCTCAACGCAATGGTCCACAATGGAATGAGTTTTGCCGTATAAAGATTATACTCCATGTTCCCCATCGAAGCTTGGAGCAGTTGAATGAAAATAATTCTCTCTCGTGGTCTGACCTTTTTAATCACAATATTGCCAATTCAGAAAATGAATTTAAAGATATACTTGGTCCGTCTGTTGATAAATTAAAAGATAAGTGTGATGACGACGAAGGCCATAAAGAAGCAGATGAATCTAAAGATGATGCACGTCCGGATTGGATGGTATTAGCAGAAATGAGTCCAAATGCAATTATTGACGGTACTTCTGATTTAGGATTACGTGATATTGATCGAAATAATGATTGGTTTGGCGGTATCAGACGTCGCTATCCCAACATAGATTCTATAGACTTAAACACTTTTGTGCAGCAGTCTAGGATTGAAGACGATGTTAGTATGGTGAATTCTATTATAGTAGATTATCAAACATTGAATGAGAAGCAGATGATTATTTTTAGAAAAATTGAAACACACTATAATGCTATTATCACAAACCATAATCAAGTTGAGCCACTTAGACTTATAATTATGGGTACAGCGGAAACCAGTAAATCTTATCTAATTAACGCAATTCGAGCACGTCTTCAAGAGATAGCTATGAATAATGGAGCTGAAACTTCACCTGTGATTGTTCTTGCTCCTACTGGCATTGCTGCGTTTAATATTTATGGTACAATGATCTATTCAACACTTTCAATTCTGATAAACAGTTCTAACCTTAATATAGAGGGTGAACAACTGAAAAACTTACAAAAAAAATTGAATGAAGTAAATTATGTAATTATAGACGAAAAAAGTATGTTGGGCCGCTGTATACTTTTTGTGGTAGACTCACGTTTACGTACGGTCTTTCCTGAACATCAAAATCAACCATTTGGTGATCGATCAGTCATTTTAGTAGGTGATTTCGGTCAACTTCCTCCGGTAATTGACGAGCCAATGTATTCTAAGAAACCTAGACATGACTCACTGTCAAATGATGGTATGAATGTATACAACCAATTTCGAGAGGTATATCGGCTTGACGCAGTTTGCCGTCAATCTGGGAATTCGCCTGAGCAGCGTCTTTTTAGAGATATTTTGATGCGATTACGTGATGGCGAATCAACAATAGATGATTGGAGGATACTTGCAAGTTGCAACACGTTTTGATAATTCATCCACTACAGAAAACAATCAATTTATGGATGCAATACATATAACTCCTCAAAAGGTTGACGTTCATGAGATTAACCTTGCTAAACTCAAATCGTTAAATGCACCTGTCGCTAGAGTTCGTGCTGTACATACTGGTGGCAATGATGCTTCTAAGGCAGATTCTGACACGGCAAAAGGCCTTAAAGCACAATTATTGTTGTCCAAGGGTGCACGGGTTATGCTTAGAGCAAATTTGTCTGTGAAAACAGAGCTCGTTAATGGCTCAGTAGGAACGATCGATGATATACTCTTCCAAGAAAACTAAGGTCCACCTTCTCTTCCAATTGCTGTCCTTGTAGAATTTGATAATTATAATAGTCCCGCAATTATATCTACCGAGGGTAACAAAGTTGTCCCTATTACACCAATTCAACGTTCCTGGAAAACCAAGACGGTAGCTTGTTCGCGTTTGCAAATTCCTCTCACACTTGTGTGGGCTATTACTATACATAAAAGCCAAGGACTGATGCTACCAAAAGCTTTTATAGATATTGGAAAGAAGGAATATTCTGCTGGTCTCACATTTGTTGCAATATCACAGGTTAGTGCACTGAAAGACATTCTTTTTAAGCCATTTTTATTTGAAAGGATTCAACGAATCAAAAGTTGTGATAGAGTAATAAAAGAAAGAAAGAAAAAAGAAAAATGACTACTGGACAATTATATGATATTGTAATTAACATTAGACAAATTTTTTGCGTCAATTGTAGAATTGTATAGGGAGAGAGAGAGAAAGAAAATCTGTGGAAAATACTGATCTACTTGATAATCAAAAGTTTATTAAAAGTATAATTTATGTGATTATAGTTTATTTTACATCATTACAATAAAATGATTATGCAAATCCATATCTATTACATAATTAAACTAATCAAATCTCATGACAAATGGTATATCTGTCTCTTATACACATCTAGATGTGTATAAGAGACAGATGCAAATCCATATCTATTACATAATTAAACTAATCAAATCTCATGACAAATGGTATATAGCGATAAATCGCATATGCGATAAATCATAATTTTCTATAATTAATATTATATTAAAAAAAAAATTCTTTTCAGTCACGTTCATGACCATTTTTCTTCTATTAATTTTTTTTTTTCCGCAATGCATTTGATAGTTTATTAAACAGAAAAAAAGACTAAACTATCTAATATTATTAACTACCAAATCACTTGTCATACATAAAAGCACCTCACGTATGTACTGTTGGGTGAAATTTTTGCTCAGAGGGTATGATTCGCTTTGAAGCGGTCATTCTTAGCATAATTGCCCTTTTTCTTCACAAGGCATTCACAGGACCCACTACATTGTGAATAAAAAAAAGAAAAAAAAGCCCTTAAATTGTAAGTGAGAAAATGAGTAAAATAAAAAACATTCAGATCGATCCTTCCAAAAGCAACCCAAGGAAATTGAGAAGATAACGAGTACTATATGTTTCCAATTCTTTATGTCGGCTAGTGAAAGGCCCATTATTGGTAGAAAGTTGCTTGTCGTAAGTAAAGGCGGACTCTAACATCAGATGTCTATTATCATGACATAGGCTCTGGGATACTGTTATCTGCCAGCCAAAATTAACTCCAATCCAAAAAATTGTTTAAAAAGAAACTCAAACTAATACTAATTTTAAAAAATAAACTAAAAAAAATTGATAAACAAGAGAAAAAAAAAGAAAAAAATAAAAAGAAAGAATAATTCTGGGATTCATAAAGCCAATTTTTGTCTCTATCCTTCTTCCTTTGAGGTGTGTAGGCACAATCGAAGATAAGGTCTAAAGCTTTTATCGAGGGTTGTTTAAAGAGAAACTAAAGTCAGTTAGTTCCACAATATCAGTAAAAGTTTAGGCCAAACGTTACACCAAAAAAACTGGTAAAATTCCAAAAAAGGTTAACCGTTCTATAAGTTTTTCCAAAATGGAAGTTGTCTTCTGAATCATTTGTTGTTATTTGTAAGTATCCTAATCAGGAGTCTTGTGACCTGACGAATAGGAAACGCTGGTAGTGTTTGTAAACAGTGGGCGTCGAAGGAGGTGTAGAAGAAGGTAAAGATGTATATTAATCAAATCATTCGAGTAGGCTAATTAAAGTCTCCTGAAGATAGTCTTGTGTATGGTGCTTAAGTCGTTATGAAGCCGTCTTGTGTTTCTTGATAGCTTGTTCGAGTATTTTGAAGAAAGAGGGCCCATTGGTATAAAGAAAATTGTTGTGGAGAAAATCCATAAAGTCCTTGTTGTTTAGGAGTTCATTAGTCGCTCTTTCCATATTTAAAGTTTCGATAGTTCGCTTAAAAAAGGTAACTTAAAACTGTTCACATTTTGCTGTTGTCCCAAGCTTGCTTATTCTAGGCGATACGTCTCTCCAAACTGTCTTTAGTCTAGGAACACCACAAAGAAAGGAAAAACGCCTTTTTTCCTCTATTAATTTTAATATAAACTTTTTATTTTGCTTTATTTTCTTAAAGTTTTTTTATTATTTTTATTACTTTCTTTATTTTTATTACCCTTTTGTTTTAGTATTAGTAATTTTTTACTTTTGAGCTTTGGCAAAAATCCTTGACATGTAGATTGGGGTAAGTCCGTCAAAGTTTGGTTAAAGTCCTAGGACTTACCTATCGGTTACCTATTACACACAAGTTAATCGGTAAAGAATCACAAACCCGATTGATTATTCACTGATTTTTATATTGTATTATTGTTAGATACGTTAAATTATTCATTTGTTAAATATTGTTAGATTAATTAGTTGTTTTATTCAATTAATAAATACATTGTTTAAATCTATACTAAAATCAATTACTCTGATGATGTTTTTCCATTTCTGAAACTCCAGAATCCTACAATCTTCAATATTCCAAACTCAAATATCCGAAATCTATCAACATCATTATTTTTTACAATATAATTATAATTTTATGCGTACTAAAATAATCCTTTACTTTGATAAACTATTAGTTAAGAATCGTATAATGAACGATGTTGCTCATATATATACTGTACATATCAAATTTCGTTTGTATATAACGAGAAAGAAATAAAAAAAATGTTAAATAACATTTTAAATAATAAACGTAAGTAAACATTTCATTAAAAAACAAAAAAAAGGTAAGTTTCGTAAGGAAACTTACCTGTTTTAAAACTCTAACGCTTATAATCAATATCTACAAAAAAATAACAAACGAATCGTAAAAGCGTTTCTATTGATAAAAAAAACCAAAATATAAAGTTTCACAATGAAACGTTGCAAAACTTACCGAAACTAAATGCCTAAGTTCAATGAAACCTACAAGAAAAAGAAAAAGAAATGTTAAAACGTTTCTTAATAAAAAAAAAATTAACAACGAGACGTTGCGAAATATACCATCTCACCATTTGGAAACTTGGAGTAACAGAACCTACAAAATTAAATAAAGAACGTCAGCAACTTCCTTTAAAAAAACAAAAAAAAAATTAGAGTTTCATAACAAAAAATTTGTTACAAAACTTACCACTTTGCCATTTCAGATCTTTGGAATAACGAAACCTACAAAAAAAAATAAAGAACTTTAGTAATGTTCTTTTAAAAAGAATAAAAAAGAATCGAAGTTTCAAAATGAAACTTCAAAACCTAACCGAAATCCAATATCGAAAGGAATTCAGAGAATACCTACAAAAAAAAGAAATATTAATATAACATTTCTTACAAAAAAAGAATAAAAAAAATCTAAATTGCGAAATTTACCGTTTCACTTCTTCAAAGTTCTCAAGCTGAATACACTTGAATCTACAAAAAAAAAAGAGAAACGTTAGCATAACGTTTCTCAAAGAAAAAAAAAAAATTTCAAGTTTTGCAAAAATAATGCGAAACTTACCGCTTTGAAAGTTATCATTTCGAAGTTCTCAAGCTGAAAGAAATACTTGAACCTGCAAAAAAAAGAAGGAATGTTAATATAACGTTTCTTACATAAAAATAATAAAAATAAAAAACAAGTTTTGCGAAACTTACCATTTTATTTTGAAGCTCCAAGCCGAACACACTTGAATCTATAAGAAAAAAGAGGAAATACACTTGAACCTACAAACCTAAAAAAATAAATGAATGTTAATTAACATTCATTAAATAAATTTAATAAAAAAAATATTATTTTGAAGGTTATACCTTCGAATTGTGTAGTCGGCTAAAATTTCCAGCAGAAACTCATATGTATTCCTACAAAAAAAAAAATAAATGTTATTATTAATTGTAATACATAAAGAAAGGTTTCAAAACAAACACTTACGTTTCACTAATTCTAAAGTCCCCCATTCTTCACCAATTCCAAAGTCCAGAAGAGCCTTAAAAAAAAAAGAAAAGGAATATTAGTAACACTTCTAAAGTAAAAAAAAAAATATGAAAATAAAAAAAAACCTACCCATTCTTTCGCTAATTCCAAAGTCTTGTAGAAGAAAAAAAGAGAACGCCAATTCTGAAGTCCAGAAGGGTTCTGTAAAAAAAACAAAGAACGTTAATAACGTTCCAAAAAAAATATTACAAAAAGAAGAAACCACTTGCCCTTTTGCTAATTTTATAGGTAGTGCAACTACTTCTTTGTACAATTCAAATCTTCAAGATAAAAAGAAACGGTTAAAAGTTTTTTTTAAAAAAAAAGATTATTAACTGATCTCGTTAAGTCATATGACCAATGCTGATGGAAACTGATCAGATGCAAACCACAGAATAACTGTTTCGGCAGTTTTAACAGAAAATCTTAAGTTCAGCAGTGATAAGCAATGTCGTTAAAATAAAAATAAAATAAACCATTTCGAAGTTTCATCTTCGAAATGAACCCAAAACTTGTCTTTCGGTGTTCTGGATCTAAAATAAAAGTTAATTAATGTTCGTTAAAATAAAATTAAAAAAAATATTGTTTGAAAGTACCTTCAAAATAGTCTGAAACTGGTACTTTCGGCAGTTCTGGACTTGCAAAATATAAAATAAACATTGCTAACGCTCGTTAAAACAAACCAAACTTTTGAAATGCCGCCATGACCTTTGGCAATAAAAGGTAAGAGAAAAGAGCGAGTCTAGCGTGTCCTTAAAAAAAATTGAAAAAATTGATATTCAGTTTCGTTAAATAAAAAAAATTAATAAAGATTTCGTACAAATATCGGTATCTGATATAAATAATAATTTTTTGAATTTCGTACAAATATCAGGCGTCTGATATATCATATCGGTGACTAAATTTTTGCATATTTTAAGATGTGACAAATTGGGTACCCGATATGTAAAAGAGCCCGATATATGTCTGATTAATCACCGATATATAGGTACCTGATATGTATCTGATAGTATCGATTTTGACTTGTGAGATAGAGTTTCCATACCATCTAATGCTACTTTTCACCTATTTACTACTACGCTTTCATTTCTATTCCACATATGATATAAAAAATTATATTAATGCAAGAGATAAAGTGACTCAGATATACCTATGGACAAATATCTCGACCATTTTGGCTGATTAGTTTTTGTTTCCAAATGCTTAATTGATCTATCTTATTTGAGGATTTTGATCATTGATGTATTTGGGAATTGCAAAAGCAAATTTTCCATCTTATTTCTGTTCAGACGGATAAAAGAGTTCATTAATCAAATTTGCAAATGGTCTATATATCTCATCAATGAGTACTTTCTAACTTACAATAGAAAAATTTGACGTTATCCCGTTGCATGTAAACTTTGGGTATATGCAAGAATGTTAGAGAATAAATTATGTGCAATTACCTGTTTGTGATATATGGTGTTTGTCTAACTTACATTTATTTATTAAGTTCCAATCGATGATTGAGATGCAACTTATATGTAACTAGGTTATTCATTAGGGAAATAAACAGAAGTTAGCTCTACAATCTACATGTACAGTCCGTTATCTAGGGTTGGTAAAGTTGGACAAGTAGGAACCAGTAAGTAGATGTTGTTGATGACTGTTAAAATAACACAAATCTAATTATTAACAAATCATTCAAATTCAGCAAAATTGAAATCAGGTGGAGAATACATTATAATTGTATGCCATCAATCGTAATATCAATAATAATCAGTTCAATAAAAACATCATAATACCATTTGCACTTGTATATGATAGTAATTACCAAAATGTTTGATTTTTAAATATCCAATTGGTTTGGATGCCAAAACTTTTTTAATTATTTCATTTTTTTTTTGAATTTCACCTTGAATATATTTTTTAAAGAACTAGGGAACGGTAACCATTGGGAATCTGAAGTGAAAAGCAAAATTATTAACCTTAATTAAACTTAATTAAACACAGGTAATTCGAATAAAAAGAATATAGACCAGTCCTCATACCAGTCTTCATATGATAAATGATTTTTATATTAAATTTAAAGCTAAAAAAATTTTTTTATTTGCAAAAAAAAAAGAAAAAAGACCGATCATATATATAAAAAAAATATCAATTAACAATTTTTGTTCTATTGTAACCGAAAGAACCAATATGAATGGATGGCCATCGACTCATACGGACAACGGGACATTTGTGAATGATACGAATAGTACCGGACTAATCATTAAATATGTCACATGATCATTTTCGAGCCAATAGTATTTTCAATTACTTTTTTGCATTAAAAATTTATTCTTCGTGTTTTTTTTTAATATCAGATATGATATTTCAGGTCTAATCAAGCTAACATTGAAAAGATCAAGTTCTAGAAAAACTCGAAAGTTCGTATATTGAATAGAAACTAACAATTAATGAATTTCTTAAACGAGCGCTTCAATAAATAAATATCAATAATATATAAACGAATTCTAAGAATAAATGAATTCTAAAATGAACATTTTGCACTTAAACGATAAACATATAAAATATTACTCTTCCTTTCAACATTCTCTTTTCAAGATATTTAAATACTTTTATTTATTTATCTTGATCTTAAATACAAAATACTTTAAATTAGTAAATAATGTACGCTTGGCAAAATCTTGGGAGTTCAGCTTTTGTATGAATATTATATAAATAAAGTCTGTTGCAAATTAAAATATATATTGATAAATTATATAATAATAATAAAAAATAAAATATTATTTATTTGAAACAAATGAGAATTATATTTCGTTTTTACAGTGTGTGTGATATTCATTCAACTTGCAATTTCATGAATTTTTTTATGATTAGCTGTTTCAATGAGAGTTCCATTATCCGCAAGAGTAATTTCATAATCCTCAAATTCAACTTCTTCAGTAGCAACTTTTCTCATAGCTAATGTATAATACCTGTCTCTTATACACATCTAGATGTGTATAAGAGACAGGTATAATACATGTAAAATAAATAAAAGGAAAGGAAAGGAAAGGAAAGGAGAAAAAAAAAACTTAAAAACTTACCTCTACCAACAACATCTACATGTACAATAGCTTTTCTTGGGATAACATAATCGATCAAATTAACAAATAAAACAAACAACAATTCAATGTATCTGAAATTATATCTAACTCTATCGGCTTTTAGAACACCTGGACGAAATATAGTAACTTTATTAAACCCAATTTCAGTTAATTCCTGTTCAATTTCGCCTTTGGTTTTCATATATAAAAATGATGATTTCGGATTCGCTCCAGCGGAAGAACAATAAAGAAAATGTAAATCCTCTGAAGGATTCTGTTGTCTAATTAATTTAGCCGCATTTATTACGTAATCTTTATCAATTTTAACAAAATTTTCTACGGATCCCGCATCTGCCCTGGTTGTACCTAATGTACAAAATACGGTACTATGCGGAAAGAAAAATGAGATGTCAAATAAAGAACTTTTAGTTTTATAACGATTTATAATTTAATTTATTTTGGTAACTTACTCGTATGAACCAGTAAATGCTTCCTTGTGATCATCTAATTTTTCAAAACTAACGACTTTTTGAATCTAAAAGGATTTATTCGTTATTTAACAAGAAAAAAAAAATATGTTTACAAAATGTAATGTTAAATACACACAAGAGCTTCTTTATTAGGACCGTTATATTCAAATTCTCTACGGCCAATTGTAGTAATGGTCTTATAGTTTCCACTTTTTAACAAGTCAATCAAAAGAGCCTTGCCGACCGCACCTGTAATTTTTTTACAAAAACATGAACATTATAATATATACCGTGTACATACACGCATACAATATATTTTGTCATACCTGTTGCGCCTAAGAATAAAGCACTTCTGTTATTAGACATTTTTGAATTTCAGTTAAAATTAAAATTGCGAAAAAAAATTTGAATTAGAAAATTTTTGAATTTCAGTTAAAATTAAAATTGCGAAAAAAATTTGAATTAGAAAAAAAGGGAAAAGGGATATGGCTTATATTTATAGATCACGAACGAAAAGTGAATGTGGTTTTTTCATTTTATTACTTTTATTTCCAAATCCGGTTTTCGGATATTCTGAATTTAAACTACAATGACCGAGCTATCCAAAATAAAAGGGTGACATTTTGTGTAATCCGATGATCTTTTTTAAAATCATCCAAAATAAATGTTGTTAATAAAAAATGTATTTTCGATTTATTATTTAAGACCGGAATATAAGTTTTTCTCTCTTAAAGCTTTCTTTAAAATCTTAAACATATTATAATTTCTAGTTGAAATAACATTGCACGGCCTTTCCCAACGTTAAAAGTGTGATTGGCAGGATCATCCACGCTTTCCATACGAGAATAATTATTATTTTGAAGTCATGGGATCATATTTAATGATTTAATGTGAATATCTTTATTTGATACTAACGTGTAAATTTTTGTAATATGATTGAAAAAAAAAGTAATGATCGATTCAGGGATGCTAAAATATTACGAATGGTCAATTATTTTAAGAAATGCATAATGATGTCATAATTAAATGATAGAGTTAATAATAGACTTGAAATTTGGGGATAGAATCAAAGGTCAATATGGAGAGATGCGCTCATATGCGTTCATATAGGCCCGAATTATACCGATTTACCGGAATTATGACTTTGCCGACAATATATGATGTATTCAGACCAAAATTTGTGTGAAAATCCCTTTAACCAGAAAAGTTACTTTGGTTCTATTAATTGATCCGAATTCTAGAGAGAGGGTATTGGTTTTTATTGGTTTATTATTTCACACTTTCACATTAATTTCTGCAGTTAAGTAAAGCCAGGCCAATTAAAAAAGTTTATGTGAAGTTAAGGGATATCTTAAACAAAGATTTTTGATTGGCTAAAATATGAATAACATAATAGTTTATCAATAGATGTTATTCAAGATCTATCTTGAAGACAAAAAGTAAGAGTATGTTAAAGTCACTATTTGCTTGGTTCAGCCTAAACTATATTGAATGATCGATTATCTTTTACGTAAACCATAGATCCATGGATTGTCAAATTTGATATTTTATTGAGCCACGAATAACAATGTGATGAAATTTAGAATGAACTAAATATTTCAAATAACAAGTGTATTATATAGACTGTATTCGATCAAGTGAAGATCATATAAAAATTACGTGATTAGCTTGATAATTTACAAATTTCTTAAAAGCGTATTCTTTATTTGAGCAAAAAGCAATAAAAAATCATAAATAATTCAATTAATAGCGTTGTTGAATGAAATGAATGAATGCGCTAATAAATGAATGAAAGGAATGAAACGAACGCTAATTAGTTATATATATTATTGGGAATAAAAGTAATAATAATAATAATATGTATAATAAATATTTCTTAGTGTAGCATAGTAAAAATAAGAAATAAAATAAAAATCGTGAGTGGGGAATTCTTTTTTTTTAAATCATATATTACATTTGGGTATTTATCTAAGTGACTTTAAACAATAATTCATTATTTAGCAAAATCATATAAAGTAATAATTATTTTTTTTTTTATAAAGACAATTAAATATTATTCGTAGTCGCAAGTGACTCTTGCGAGTTGTTCTGAACTTAAGTTATAGCATCTTCTTGATCTTGAAGGATTATTTTTTAAGGCCATCAAAACTTCTTGTAAGCTTATACCATTTTTTCCACTAACACTCATAACTGAAGATGCCTCCATATGTTTTGATGAATGTTTAGCTTTTATTTCCAGTCTCATCTTAGAAGATGAGAACATTCTTTTAAATATACCGTCATGTTCATTTTCATCATATAATTCAAATTTAAGCATTTTATGAGGTTCAATTGAACAAATTTTAAATTTATTCCTAGTTGTAAATCTTTGTGATAATTTTGGGTGTGAAATGAATTGAGTTTCATTATCAAATCCACAAAGAACATTTCCATATGATTTCATCCAGTTAAAGATTGAATCTTTCGTTCCAATGACTATGAATTTTGATCTTGAGGGTGTAAGGTGAATTTTATAGAGATCGTCAGGAACAATAAGTTTAGTTGAATCGACAATGTCGCCTAAAGAAAAAATGCAATTTTAAAACAAAGAAAAAAAAAATCATTCTCAAACATGATAAAGAAAAGAACGATTATACACTACCTACTGGATATCCATATATAACCATCTTTACATATCTTTTTTTTTCATTAAGAATTTTTTTTTTTAAAAAGAATAGTCATTAATGTGAAAAAAAAAAAATTTTCGAATTTGCTGCTTTTAAAAATGAAAAGCTACGATGTGCATATATGATCGATGAAATTTTTTAACCAATAAATTCTACACGTTTATCTTTAAAAGGTTTAACGGAACAAAAGTTAAATAACTTTCAAGAGATTACTTAACTAGGAAAAAAAAAAAAAAATTTCCATTATATTAATATTAGCGGTTCCATAATTTTTAATTGTTTTATATCCAGTTAAGATTACGATCGATCTTTGACAGATTTAATTTTAAATTTTTAATTTCTATGATAATCCTGAGTCAAATTCAACGAATGAACTTTCAGTAATTATCAATGCGCAATAATGATCAAATTTAGTTGGATAACCCCCCGTTTTTAGTATAACCGAATAAAGAATTCTTTATTTCCCTTTTGTCCCAAAAAAAAAAGGCTATCTCGTATGATATAAATGATGAAATATAATTTTTTTTTTTCAATGTGATTCCCTTGAAAGGTATTGAAACTATTGAAGCTTTGAAAGCAACTATTAGAGTATCAAAAAAAGATCGATCGATCACTTGTCACATGATTGGAGTATTTGACTTTAGCATTCACGTTGACATTAGCCAATTAAAAATTCTTCGCGAATTTGATATCCCGAAAACCCGATCGAAATTTTGGTGAGCTTACCATTTATAACCGATTTTTATTCAAATTCACATGAAAATTAATTTCGTAAATCATTATTTAAATCTGTACTACGCCTATCGATCCTTTGTGAGTTCTAATTTTGATCGTTACATCAAATATGATTTCTCATGCTTGGCTGCCTGGCTTCTTTGTGAGAGCATAACACCGCATTACTCTAATTACCAATAAAATTCCAAATTATGATTGCAAAAATAAAATCTCATTTTTACTCGTTATGAATTTAGTCTTTTGAATTTCTTTTCAGAGTTATAGTAACTAATGGTACGTGGTCAAGATTTTTTCTTTATAGTTTAGTATATTTCATCCGAACACGTTTAACATATAATATCGGAATTTAACGGGTGATAGAAAAACTTTATGTCATTGAATATTTAATCATATTTTTTATATTTTTCGGTTGTAGATCTGAATTAACATGGCCAAAAACTAGATTATTACAAAGAATAATTTAGATATCATAAGATAAATTATACAACGGTCCCAAAATACACTTGCGTGATTTTCACTTCTTTTCAAAAATTCTCACGTGATATATTTTACTCTCACAGATCTCTAATTAAATTGAAGTGGGATGACAACTGAATATTAAGGACTATCAAGGGAAGTTCACACTATAGCCATTTTTTTATTTAGTCATGAAAATGTACATCAAATAGTACATTATGAGAAAAGTGAAAAGGTGAAATTATAAAATATGGGTTATGCTAACACAATCAACGTAAATTTGATATAAAAAAATTAGAATATAATATGACTCACTCATTGATCACTTAATCACTTCATCATTCATACTTCCAAATAAGTAGGAAAGAAGAAAGCCAGTAGCCACAAAAAGTTTTAATTTTACAACAAAGATAAAAAAAGTTATTTGAAAAAATAGTAAAGAAAATTTATTAGAAGCATCTTTAAAGAACTTTCTTAATGCAAATTCCATATGGTCGTATATCATCCCCAGTCGGTGCAATCCAATATTCACCAATGTTCGTTTTCATCTTTGAAATCTTAATTAAACTTTTTGGATTAACTCTATTCTGAATTACAACTATATAATAGGATCCTTTATGAGCGAATTTCAAAGAATACTCAGCAGCTACATTAATATCAGGTGTAGAATAAATTCCTACACCAAATCTAAATCTTTTACCCTTACTCAGAAGATAACCATTTTCGACAATTGATCTACAATTATATATGACAGTTCCATGATAACAAACTAATAAAATATTTAAAAAGATCAATCTTTTTATGAAATAATAATAATAATAATAATAATAATAATTATCTAATACCTGGCCATTCATTTTGTGTTGAATGTTGTTCATTTTTTCTGCCTTCAGCGCCAAACCAAGTGTTGTCTTCATATTTATCCAGAACCTTGAGGGCAAATCTTTTCCAACCATAGGGACGGTTATAATTAAAATTCCCTCTCATAAAAGTTCTTTTATTGTCATTAATATTTGTAAAATCATAATTATATCTTGTATCAAGTTGATCTGGAGGAATAAATAATTCAAGTGATCCAATATCAACTACTTTTTTAAAGTTTATAATATCACTTGAAACTATACTATAACTAGTCAATATATATTCTAATTCTTCATGGAATTTTGATTTTAATTCAAAAATTGGTACGACTGATATCAAAAGATTCAGGATAGTATCTACTAAAGTGATCAGCATCGTGATTAAATTGTATGACTAAATTCTGAAGTAATATTATAACTCGAATGTATAATATATTGTTGTAAAACCCCTCCAAAATTTTGTACAACATTAGTCACGATATCCGCAGAAGAACTAAAAAGTTTAAGATCTACAATAACGTATGAATTTAGGTTTAGGCCGGTGATCATCTTAAAAAAAGAAATGCGACGATATAAACCATGTGCCAAGCGATATCATGAACGTTTTTCGATGGCACTTTCCCGGGTTTTGCTATACTTCCTACATGTGTTTCCCAGTTCCCAGTGAAAGTGTTTTGCAAGGACTAAAATGACTTCAGTATATTCTCTGTATCCATGACTTTCTTTAAATAGTTTTCACCAGGATATTAATGTTTCAAATGACTACAATTGACTATTCCAGCGATCCAAGAGACCATACTAAAGAAAAAAAATATATATTTTTTAAGCCCAATCTAAACTTCTTTATATGCACGTCATTCGTCATTAAAATCATATGAAAATCCTTACTATATATATCACATGCTTAATAAATCTTCTAGTAAGCAATTAAGTATTTAATTCTCGCGATATGTATTTATTACGTCTCAATTTCTCCGTCTTTTGACTAAAAACGACCACTGTTTAAAAATATCTGATTATTTATTTATCTATTAAGCTGTAGTGTAACAAAGTTAGTTAAAACGTAACAAAACTTTTCGGAAAAATTAAAATTATTCTTCCCAAAATTAGAAAATTAGAAATACTTAACAAACAAGTTCTTTCTATTTAGAGTAAAAAAGTATGACCTCATATAATATTAAACGCTCAGTAGGAAGATTCCGTAATGACTGCGCCACATACTATATCCTTATCAACGATAAGGTAAACAAAAATCCGATTGTAATACCTAGGGTAATACATCATAATAATAATACAATAACAACACAAGATAAGAAGATAACAGATAAACTAGTACAAAATTACAAATTTACGATCCCTCATTTTGTCATTTAAAAAAAAGGGCCATTTTTTAAATATTTTAATGTGCACGGTTCATCGGTTCAACATCAAAAAACGTATATAAACAGGAATACTGATTTTCAAGTTGCATATTCAATTCTTATAATTAGGAATTTTTTTTTTTACGCCTCAAATTTAGAAGAAAAATTTTTCTTCTTCGAAACTTCTAATTATGTCATATTCATCAAAGTTTTTACCTTCTTACAAGACCATTTTTGTTGATTCTACTGATGATATTCAACTAGAACTCCTATACAGTATAGGAAGGAATAAGGTTTGTAATATAAAAAAAAAAATTTTTTGACATTCGATATTTAATATCTTTTATTTAGATACAACACGTAAACTTGCCACCATTATTATTTATTCACGGTTCATATCACGCGGCTTGGTGTTGGGAAAACTTTCTCGGATGGTTTGCTGGTAGGGGCTTTGACTGTTTTGCTGTGAGGTAAATAAATTTATAAAAAAATTGGTTCAAAAGAGCAAAAAATTTATAATTATTAATTTAATATCCAGTTTACGTGGACATGGCAACAGTACAAGGGTAAAAAATAAAGCTACAACGTGGACCTTGGAGCAATATGTTGAAGATGTATGTTTAAGGAAAAAAAATATAAAGAATTTCTTTAGATTTTTGATTCACGTATAATTTTTTAGGTTTCGTCAGTAGTTGACTTTTTACGTACAAACACTTCATTGAAACCAATTATAATCGGGTAAGAATCATGGCTTTTTTATGACTTTTATATTTTATATATATTCATTTTTTTTTTCTCGATTTTTTAGTCACGCAATGGGTGGAGCTATATGTCAAAAATATTTAGAAACTTCATTTGATAAGATAACTTCATGCGTTTTGCTTTGTTCAGTTCCTCCAACCGGTTCAGTCTATTCGTTTTCACATTGGTTTTCGAGAACTCCTGCAGCACTCTTTACTTTACTACTTCAAAGTTCCTACCTTTTAATCTCGACTCCAGAAAGAGTTCAGAAATCCTTCTTTTCACCAAACCTTCCGCAGGATTTACTCAACCAATATCACTCTAAATTAGAACCAACCGTTAATACAAAATTAAATTTACAAACATTGACAACTTTCGTTGACAAAAAGAAAATTATGAGTCAAAAAGACTTCTCAAAATCGATGATTATAATTGGCGGCGAAAAAGATTGTATTATACCAGTTGATATGGTGGAAGAATCAGGTAAAACGTACGGCGGGATTAAAGTTAATATTGTGAGAGATGTCGCTCATGATGTGATGTTGGAAGTAAAATGGGAAGATGTTGCTTTAGTAATTTTAATGAGAATTCAAGAAAAATTATTTGAACAATGTGCTAAGTTATATTAATGCTGTAACAACAAGTAATAATATAATCTTGGTGATCTGATGAAAAACATCATTTTTTTCAAAGTGATATTTATGTAAGATTAGTTGTATAAAAAATCATTGGGTAAATAGATTGTTTAGATTGTAAATTAGTAAATATGGCGTGAATAATAATATCGTCAAACATTTTAAGTTATTATCATTAATTATATGTTACAAGCTAAACGGGTGATTAAAAATCATACATTGTACATTAAATTTATTTTATATATCCTACTCCCGATTGTAAATATTGTAAAAAAGTAAAAAAAAAAAGGAAAACTCTTAAAAACTCAATCAAATCAAATTGCGTAATTCTTCACTCATGAAGCTTTTCGATTTCTTCTCTATCATATATTATTCCTCAAAACATTGTAATAAATTTAATAATCGATCACGTAATTTTTTTTTAATTGAAGAATGCTAAGAATGCTTCAACAATGCATCGAATTAGTGCGACGCAATTGTAATAACGATCTTCATTTTACAAATTACCAATCAAATTTAAAATTTTTAATTTAAACTTAAAAGCTATCTATAGATCAAAACCATTGAAAAAATGCATGTAATGTCTCACCCTTCAAAACAAATGTCTGATCAGGATTTAGCATTTATATCGCTGATCTTGTGACCTTGTGCCCATATGACACTTTATGACTTGTTAAGAGTCAAATGAGTCATCGCGAATACAACACGTGTAAAATATTATAAATAGACTACTATATCGAGTCACCAACATTCAGACAATTAGTTAATAGTTAGTAATAATAAATGGATAATAGTGAAAAAGCCGATCCGTGGTCACCAATAAATTATAAACTTCACGCAAATTTTGTGCCAAAATTAGTAGAACATAGTCTTATCACGCTTCTCTCCCCAAAACCATATGAAAGAATTTTAGATTTAGGATGTGGAGATGGAATGTTAACATATAAAATTCAAGAATCGTGTAAAGAATGTATTGGAATTGATAAAAGTCAACATATGATCGAAGAAGCTAAATTAAATGGATGTAAAGATGTTAGAGTAGTTGATTGTGAAAAACTAATCGAATGGGCTAATAATGAAGGTTTTGTTGGATATTTCGATAGTGTGTTTTCGAATGCTGGTATGTATTCTAAAAAGAAATTGAACAAAAACGAGGAAGCCAAACTAATTAATCATTGATTAGCGCTCCATTGGATGAAAAATCAAGAAGCTGTAATTGAGGGAATCGCAAAATGTCTTAAGCCTGGCGGTAGATTTGTGGCAGAACTTGGAGGCTTCGGAAATGTGCAAAGTGAGGATTTCTAGTTGCATATCACGTAAATTTCCTCAAATAAAAAATAATAAAATAATTCATTTTCTTTATTTTCTTTTAAAAATTTATTCATGAAAGGTGTCGAAAAGTCTTTGATTAGCGCTTTAGACAAACGCGGTTATAACGGAAAAGATCTGTCACCATGGTGAATATTTATATTTTAACATTACATTCACAAAATTCTCTTTTGTTCTGATTTAAAATTCGAAAAATTATTAAAGGTACTTCCCATCACCGGAAGATTACACGCAAATCTTAAGCAAATATAAATTTAGCGTTAGTAATATTTCTCATTTTTCAAGGCCAACGGAACTACCAACTACAATTAGTGGATGGGTTGAGACGTTTGGATTCTCCTTTTTGGCTCCTTTGGAAGATAATGAAAAAGAAATTGTTAAGGGTGAAGTTGAAGGAATGTGTAGGAATGGAGCGTTTAATAGTGAAACTGATAAATGGACTCTTGATTACGTAAGATTAAGAACTGTGGCGCAATTAAGCAGTTAAACGCATAATAATTTTTACTTTGCCCAATCACTGCGTACAAGCTACGATTTTTCTATTTTCTGGTTCTATACCAAAAATAGGCCTTCCGTATTTTACCCACGCTACCCAAGCATAGTTTAATTAGTTTAATTTTTATTGGTCTTTAAGTTCTATAAACCATTCTATTTAAATAAAAACTATTATTATTTAATCAGATTTTTAACAATTGTAGAAGGTAGCCACATGAAGATTCTGAATTTTAGGTTGATAAACATTTTTGTAATACTTAATAAACAAGAATTTTTTTCTGATAAAAGATGATCTACTTTTGCTTACACCTTAGGGAGTTTTTTCTCACAGAAAATGTCATTTTTCAAAGAATTCAAACTATCAATTTTAGAGTTTTTAGTCCTTATTATTTTAATTTCAACATTATATATTCTAAAATTTTATTATGATTATTTCACTCGTTCAATTTCATATCCGGGTCCACTTCCGTTGCCTATATTAGGTAATTTACATCAATACTTTTATTATAGTAATGACCTTCAAGCTTGGCTTCATCGTCTGAGTTTGAAATATGGAGATGTGTTTGAACTGTATTTTGGGTCCAGTAAATATTTAATGATTAGTGATTCACGGATAGTCGAACGAATAATGAGTTCAGTAAAGGACAATAATTACTTTGTGCGAATAACAACTCGAGACGGATTAGATGACTTACAAAAGGGACATAATGGAATATTATTTAATGTAGATTTTAATTCCTGGTCATATATTAAGAAAATTTTTATTAGAGCTGTTGCGGCACCCAATGCACTAAAATTTGGCATGAAATTAATTGATAGCGGTTTTCAAGATTTGGAAAAGTTCTGGAACTTATTGATCGAAGAAACAGGTCAATTTGTGTGTGACGAACAAGAAAAATCCGTAGAAATTGATTTTATACCGTGGGCGAGAAGAATTTTCGCCGAAACTATAATGTTGATGACTACCAATCGACATCCTAATTTACTATCAACTTATTATGATAGGACCACCAATAAAAATCCTCAAAAAAATTTGTATGAAGAATTTTTTGATCGTTTGAGTATTGCATCTGATTGTGTGCAATATTATCTCATGGTTCCACCATTTATACGTAATTTTCCAATTATAAATATTTATACAAATTACCTATACAAGAATATGACGTGGACGAGAAATTACACATACAATTTGGTCAAGGAGCGCCTAGAAGAAATTGAAAGTATTGATGATAATGAGAAGTTGTCCACTGATATGTTAAGCATGTTATTGACAGCTAATAAATCAAATGACAACAATGAGAAACCTATGACTAATGAAGAAATCGGTGATAATATTGCAGAGATACTTATTGAAGGAGTCGATAGTGTATGTATTATAATTTATTTCATATTCTATTTTATAGATAAATTGTTAATAATGATTTTTTTTTTAAAGCCCTCGAATACTTTATCGTTTGTTCTTTATTATATTGGAAACGATCCAGATATTAAACAACGAGTTCTTGATGAAATTGATAATATATTTGGGGATGGACCTGATTTTAACGTTACCTATGAAGATCTAAGTAAACTTGAATATATTGAAGCTGTAATAAAAGAAGGTGAGCATTATTAAAAATTTTATCACTTCGATCAATATATTAAACACTGTTTAACCTTGTGGCGATAATTTTTAGTTTTAAGAGTTAGGCCAGTTACAGCAACAATTACACGTTTCGCCACACATTCTGATCAAATTGATGAGTTCCAAATTCCTTCATCAACACATTTATCAGTCAATATTTTGAGTTTACACGTGCACCAAAACTATTGGGAAGAACCTACGAAATTTAATCCCTTGAGATTTTTAGCAAGTAGCAATAATGAAAAAGAAACTTATGACAAAAATGCACTTGTATATTTTGGTGGTGGGTTACGTATGTGCCCAGGTAGACAATTTGCAATGACTTTACTTAAAATGATGGTTGTTTTGTTATATAGTAAATATAAGTTTGAGGTGATTACTAAGGAACCTTTGGCACAAAATAGTATTAATACTCAATGTAAAGAATTGAAAATTAGAATTAGGTGCTTGAAGGTATAAATTTGCTTTCATATGTGTATTTATCGTCGCTTGGCAAACATCTTAATAGATCTAAAATCAAATACACATACATTATATCACTTTTTCACAAAAATCATTTTCGCCTCAAATTATATTCATTCATTTATTACACTCATTTAAAACATCACCACATAACCTCACTATTATGGCATTACTTTCTCATTACCTTTTCCTTTTTACAACATTACCACATAATCTTGTTACCCTCTTATCCTTACTCTTACACAATTTTTCCAAAAATCTTGAATATTTTAATATTTGTAAAAATTGTAAAAATTCTCTGAAAAATTTTTTAATACAAAAATTTTTTTAGCTAAAATTTAATTTGATTTTCAATTGTTATCAGAATTAATAATTCTACTATAATCAGTACTATAATCCATGAATAATATTAGTAAAAACGGATTTTTAATAAAATTTGAAAATAGGGTTTATTATTTTCAAGAATAATAATAAAAATGAATGTTAAAATATCTTGGTTTCAATAAATGCAAAAATATTAATGTTGAATTTGGATATATAGCTATTAAGAATTAGCTTTATAAATATATTTTATAAAGCTTAATATATAAAATATTATAATAATAAATTTCTATAAAATTCAAGATTTTAAAAGATATAGCCAGAACTTGATATAATGACTATATGATATATCAAAGCTGATTATACCTAAATAATATAAATAATATAATTATATTATTTAGGTATAATTGGCTTAGATTAGGTTATTTAGTAATAAAATAACCTAGCTATAGCTAAATAATTTAAATATAATTAAATAAACTAGATATTTTCAAATAAACTAAATATAACTAAATAATTTAAAAATAACTAAATAATCTAAAGTTAATAATTAATTGTGGTTAAATAATCTAATTAAATAATTTAAATGTGACAATTTTTTATACCTTCTTATTGTTTCTACTATATTCCTTGCCTTTGAAATTGCTGTAACTGTTAAATATTCACCGGGAAATTTTTTGAGGTGCAGATCTGCACAGATCTGCACAGATCTGCAGGTGACATTTTTATGCAGATCTGTGACCCTTGTTTTTATTAGCTTCATAGATTTTTTTTTGCGCTAGGTGCTTTTTTCCTAAACAATGAGAATCTACTGTTGACTTATGCCTCCATTCCACAAAAAGGTCGCAATAATTACAAAATAAAAGACTATTTTCAACGCGAAAAACATCTGGATGTTCTTTAACTCTTGTATAAATTGTTATAGCATTAGCTTTATTAGTTTTAGTGCGTTTTCTAAATGACATTTTAAAGTGAAAAATAGATTTTGATTATCGAAAAATATTTTTTTGTGATTTTATATATAACCCCTGAGAATTTTGTGATATTATGCGGTGATCAGGAGTAATAAATGTGTTTATTATATATCCTTATAGGATCACACTGTATTTTTTTTACATTTATTGAATAGCTTTATTGATGATATATATAATAAATGAATACTGTTTAAATCATTACAAATACATAATAAAATTAATAAAATTAGATTTTTATACAAATAGACTATAAATTAACTCGTGATTGATTTAATAGTGTGATCGTGAGAGTCTATATAATAAAACACTTATTGTATAGGTCTTTAGGCAATACAGTCAAACTTCGATGTACCGATATTCTATATACCGATAAATGGTCTGTACCGATAAATTTCAATTATCCCGTTTCATAATTAATAAAAAAATCTTGTTATACCGATATTATATAGAGTTTCATGATGTAACATGTAACGATACTTTTTCTTTGTCCCTTTATAGTAATTGTATAATAATATGTACCGATAATCTAAGTTACACCAGCATGTGACCTAAACTTTTTTGCTTTTTAAACACGCTGTTGTACTTTTTTGAAGCATGTGCCATTTTTAAAAGATGTATTTAATTAAAGAATTAATTAATCAAAAAGATACTTTTCGCGTTTTACACAAATCATGCCTTAATAAAAAAGAAGAAAAGATGTTCAAGATTTTTCTCAGACAAAGAAAAGAGTTGTGTTAACACATGCACAGAAACATCAACTCTGTTTGGACTATAAACAAATACCACGACCTACTCAAGAAGAACTTGCTGTTATATATAAAATTAAGCAAAACACCGTCTCAGATATTTTTTAAAAAAAAGACAAGTGGTTGCTTGTAGATCCTGATTCAGAAGAAGCAAACAAACAGAGAGAAAGACCACCTTGCTTTCCTCAAGTAGAAGAGACTCTTGCGTTATAGGTAACTAATGCACTTTCTGCAGAGATTGTAATTAATGGTGATATTTTACGAGAAAAAGCAAAAATTTTTGCAAGGGGGTTTGAAATTGATAATTTTGTGGCTTCTACTGGATGGATAGATAAATTTAAACAGCGTTACCATTTAAAGGAATATGTTAAATGGGGTGAAGCAAAAAGTGCACCGCTAGAAATGTTAGAAGAAGAAAGAAGAAAATTACGCGAAATTATTAAAAATTATGATTTGAATGATGTTTTTAATTGTGATGAAACAGGTAATCATTATAAATTTTGCCAAAAAATAACAAAATAATATCTAATATTTTATTTTATTTATTATAGGATTATACTGGGACCTTGAACCTTCAAAAACGTTAGCAAAAGGTCCACTTTCTGAAAAAAAAAAATCCAAAAAGTGGGTAACTCTCCTCCTTACATGCAATGCAACTGGAACTGAAAAATTAAAGCCACTCTTTATACATGCATATCAAAATCCATGAATATTAAATGGAAAAAAAAGGAGGAATTACCAGTTAATTATTATTGGAACTCAACCGCCTGGATGCAAGTTTCAATATGGAATGATTATCTTATGAAGTTGGATACACAAATGCGGTTGCAGCATCGCAACATTCTTTTACTTGTTGACAATGCTCCAGTACATATAATAAATGAAAAACAAATTTAACAAATGTGGCTGTGCATTATTTGCCACCAAATACTACAGCTCATTTACAGCTTTGCGATGCAGGAATAATTAATTCATTTAAGGTAAATAATACTTCTTATTAATTTGCAAATAAAATATATTTTGCAAAGTAAATTCTAATTTTATCAATTTTTTAATAATTTAGACACAGTATCGAAAATTACTTGTTAGAAACAGAGTTGAAGCATATGAAATTTCACAAGAATTAAATAAGGCAGTCATTCCTTTAAACATCTATGATGCTATTAATTTTAGTAAAGATGCATGGAATGCTGTAAGTCAACAGACAATTTTTCACTGTTGGCAGCATACAAAAATTCTTCCACTGGGTGATTTGGATGAAACAGATAACGAAATTGGTGGTTATGATGAACAAGTAGTTCGTGATAAATTGGCATTACAAGATCTAATTTATGAGCTCCCGTTTAATGATCTTATAGACGTAAATGAATTTCTTCATATAGATGATTGTTTAAAAGGTGATGAAGGGTTGACTGATGATGAAATTATCTCTATGGTAAAATCAAATAATGATGAATCAAAAGAAAATCTAAATGAGGAACCTTTAGAAATAATTTCAAAAAAAGGAGCTTTAGAATATTTGGATGAACTTATTGTGTTTTTTGAGCATTCATCTGATATTCCTATTGATTCTAATGAATTAATTATGTTGCAAAAATTAAGGCGTCAAGTATTAAAATCATATGTCAATAATTCAAAACATATTACATTAGATAATTTTGTTCAAATCTTGTAATATAACGTTATATATCATGCATTAATAAAATACTAATCTCAAATACAATTTATTAATAATAAATAATATTTTATTTTAAAATAATTGGAAAAATTTTTTTTTATAACGATATAGATCAACATACTATAATAATATCGTTACATAAAATTCTTTATAATATACTAATATTCCGATCTACCGATATTTTTTTCCTGTCCTGACAGTATCGGTACATCGAAGTTTGACTGTACTTTGCTGTTTTCGATCTCAACCATTTGATCGGTCATATTGTACCACTTCGTGGCACAATCTGAGCCAATCAAATGGCCTCAATCGAAAACAGCACGTTATTGCTTAAATACTATACAATAAGTATATATTATCACATAATTTTGTGAGTTATGTGAATTTCTGTGAAATGCCAAATATGTAACAGGTTACGCCGAGTTTGGTGACAAATAACAGGTGGCAAATAAGTTTTAGACCACAACCACATATTGGAACTCGGGCTTGCACGTGATCATGTGACGCTAAATGACGCTAAACATCACTCCTTACTCTAAAGCTAATATATTCAGCGTAACATTTCGGACCGGCAAAATGATATTATAATTATGTAGTTTTGCTAATTGTGGCTCAATAGGGGTCAAACAGTTTCGTTTTTGCTGGAATTTTATCATGATCATGACCAATCGCTTTGATCTATAGAATATTATCAATAGCTGTGTTTAATTAAGTATGCTATCATACAGTCAAATAGTTCGAAAGGATCAAGAGCGTGAGAAAGAGCGTAAGAAGGAGTTGTATGATAAAGTATGCGTTGCTCAGAGTATCAAATTTGTTGTCGGTAAAGCAAAAGAATTAACTGACTTGAATGTTTATTAGATATTTTCCTGCTATTTAACAACAATACTTGCAAGGGATAAAGAGGTAGTTGCAGTATGGTTAAGTATTTTACAAGATCGCTGTGAAATTTACCTTTCTAAGAACTCTGATTGGCTAGACAAAGATAATAAGTTTATTGATAATATTACGAAATATCTAAAAAATATATCGAAGAATGCTCCCGCAAAATCAGAAGATAACGAAAGGAATTTTCTCGTGGCTGTGACACTTTATTGTTCTACTAAACTTGAGTCTAGATTGAAAAAACTTAAGGATGATATTGAATTCTATGGTGATGATGAACACGTTAAATCTTTCAAAGATTTTTTTTCGGCTAAGGTTGGCGATACAAATAATACAAGTACGATCACGATATCCGGAGTTTGTAAAGAGTATTATAAGAAAATTAAAAAAGCTAAAGTTGAGTCTAGGATTCCCTCAGAATTTTTAAGACATATTAAAAAAGTGGCGTCTTATATGGTATCAGTTATAGGTATCATAAAATGTGCACGTAATATACAATACAAATCATTATTCTCTAACGTTCAAGTGTTTAAAGGGGGGCCTGTTATCATAAATAATCATCCCATATATTCGTGGAAAAATATTATCAAAAGGTTTATTGATGAAGACAAATATAAATGTTTCATGGATAGGTGTTCAGAAATGCCCGAAGTAATGGAAAGAATCAGTAAAGTATATACTGACAATGCTACACGAAAACAACAACAACTTGATGGTGATGACGTTAAAAAATATATATGCTCACATGCGCAAATGAACATATTGGCCCTTATTATCAACAAGGGAATTAAAAGTAGGGTGTTTATAGCAGTGTTCAAAAGATGTTGTTACTTGTGCAAACTTTACACTGATTTTGCACGAAAACAAGGATATAATATCATCGTCTTTGAACCACAATTTTTTACTAATTATGCATTTGATTGGAAATACATGAAAATATGTAGTGAATGGCAACTTCCGCATGTAGAGGATAATGACTTCAAGGCCAGATCCCTAATATATATACTAAAAAATCTTGATCAAATCATAGAGAAAAAATTAAAACACTATACCAGTAGTTTGTCAGCGAATTCTAGTGATGATAATATAGATATGTATATAAAAAAGTTTAGCAATGAATTTGAAAAATTTGAAAAGTATACCCTACTACCTTAATATATTTTTTTAACAAGGCTGCGTGAAATTTAGAAAATAAACAATATATGCAATTTTCAATTTGTGAGCTATACTTTTTTTATATAAAACATTATAATTAGGGAATATTAGATTTGTAGAGAAAAAGGTTTAATTGATAGGAATGAGGGTATATTCTATCAATAAAGCATAAAAGTTCAAAGCGAAATTTACTTGAATGTAAAAATGTTAGCTTAAAGAGAAACATCTCAAGCTCTAACATATAAGATGAGAGTTTCTATACTATCTTACCTATACTTTTATTTCATATAGGATATAAAAATTATATTAATGCAAGAGATAAAGTGATTTTATATATATCTGTGGACAAAATATTTTGACCATTTTGGCAAATTAGTAGTTTTGTTCATAAACACTCAATTGATCTATCTCATTTGAAGATTTTAATCATTAATATATTTTGGGAATTGCAAAGTAATGTATAAAAATTCATGCACATGTGCACATTTTAATTTTTATGTGCACAATTTTTAAAATTTAATATCACAAAATTTCTTAAAGAAAATATCAATAAAATTAGTAAAAATGTGCACTATTGTGCACAAAAAAACAATGCTTTATGTGCATATGTGTACATATAATTTTTTTTCAGATTATATATATATACTGTTGCAAAGGCAAATTTTTTGTCTTATCTGAGTTATCTCTGTTCAGATAAATAAAAAAGTTCATTAATCAAATTTGCAAATGGTCTAAGAATCAATCTTTAATCTAATTTTGTCTAATTATTAACGATTCTTATGTATTTAAATTTTGTAATAACAATCAATTAATTTTTTATTATTTCGCTTTATTAAAAATTACCATCAACCACTCATTGTCAACCATCCCATTGTCAACCATCAATCGTCATTCATCGTCTACCACCTATCATCCACCATCTATCATCCACAATCCATAATTCACCATCACCCATCATCCACTCATCCAAATAATTTTAAAATTAACTACAAAAAGAAGAAGAAACAGTTAGTTAATAGTTTCTTCAAAAAAAAAAGTTTCAAAAGTTTTTCGAAACTTACCCTGCTCATTAAATAAAGTCCGAAAGAAAACCTTCAAAAAAAGTAGAAACGGTTGGTTAGAAACCATTTCTTCAGTTAATATAATTTGAAAGTTTTTAAGGAAAAAGCTTCGAAACTTACCACTTATTCAATAAAAATCTGAGAGGAAACCTACAAAAAAAAATAAAGAAATGGTTAGTAAACCGATTCTTTAATAAAAAAAAATTGAAATTTCAAAATATTTTGAAACTTAACCAAAATCCGAAGTGGAAGCCTACAAAAAAAGAAGAAACGATTAGTTAAAGTTTCTTTGATAAAAAAAAAATTTATTTCGAAATATGAAACTTACCCGATCTGTTCAATATAAGTTTGAAGTGGAAACCTACAAAAAAAAAAAGAAAGAAACGATTAGTTTTTTATTAAAAAAGTTTCGAAAAGAAAATGAAACTTTACCGATCCAAAGCCCAAGGAGATATCGCAGCCGATACCTACAAAATAAAAAAAGAAATAAATTAAAATTTTCTTAGTTCGAAAAGAAAGTGAAATTTCGAAACTCACCTATCCAAAGCCCAAGGATATCACAACCGATAACTATAAAATAAAAAAATAGATAAAAAATTTTTTTAAAATTTCGAAGCTTCAAAACTAACCTATCCAAAGCCCAAGAACTGAAAGCCGAAACCTACAAAATAGAAGAAAAAAAAATCCAAAATAAAATTAAAAAAAAAAATTTTTTTTAGAGTTTCGATTCTTTTACTTTGAAACCCACCCATATATCCAACGCCCAAGAACAAAAAGCCAAAACCTACAAAATAGAAGAAAAATAATTTTTTTTAAAAAAGGTTTGAAGCTTTTTAGCTTCGAAACTCTCCAACGCCCAAGAATCGAAACCGAAACTTACAAAAAAGAGATTCACCGACTACAAAAATAAATTTCGAAAGTCCGCTATTTAAATCTTTAGAGGGTCGTAAGTCGAAGGTCGTAATACCTAGGGATTAAATGGGGGACAACTCTAATAATAACCAGAACTGTCGCCACCATAAATTGGTTATACAAATCGAAATCTACTATAAAATTGCGCAAATTTTTTACTTTTTCGACGCGTACGCATAGAGAAGCGGCCAAGTCAAGGTTATATATGCTAGCTCTATATAGGCGAAGTTTTTTTATTAAAATTATACCACTGATTGCTTTGTTCTTAATTTTATGTTTTTTGCTCCTTTATGGTAGAAAAAATTACATCCTTTTTTTTCGAGATTTCATTAAGTATATACTAAATATTTTTATATAAAACGTTTTAAAATAGCCTTTTCTTCTTTTATTATGTATTATTTTCGAGTGTGTAATAAAATTTTATATGTTTTTGAGGTATTTCAAACAGCCGATCCAGAATTTTAAAGAATATTTCAAAAAAAAAAATATTTTCATGTAGTTTCTCATTTTTTTTTAGATTATATTGATTATCGGCAGATCTTTCACTTTAAACATTGGGTACCGTTGCATTTTACTATTAACTCATAGTAATTTACATATGGAGACAGTTTTGGCCAGTCTGGTAACTGAGACTATGTATTAGTGAGCTTGAGGCGAGCTCTGCGAAATTTTAGGTTATTGAAAACCCGTGATAAAATGTCACAATCATCCTACTGTCCGAAAAAAAAGATGAAGCTTTGCACAGATGAATCTTCACTATCTTGCAAAATGCAATTAATAAAAAATTTTTTACATGACACTGATCGTGATGAAATGTCGTGGTTTTCCATAATCTTGGCTTGAGATTATCATAAAAAGTGTTCAGTGAATGGCCTCGAAACGTTTATTCTTGGTTCCGAATTTTTGACCTGAACTCGTGATTTTTGATCGTGAAGATTCTTCCCGGTTGCACCTATGATGTGATAATGCGACAACGTACTGTACATCTCAATCATCGATTGGAACTTAATAAATAAATGTTAATTAGACGAACATCATGTATCACGAACAAGTACAGTGGTTTGAGATACGACATATTAATATAATTGCATGTGATTTATTCTCAAACATTCTTGCGTGCAACGGGATAAAGATCGTTCCTTTGACCAATTTGCAATTCATATAAACCTTGATTAATGAACTCTTTTATGTGTCTGAACAGAAATAAGACGGAAAATTTGATCAACGATCAAAATCCTCAAATGAGATAGATCAATTGAGTGTTTGTGAACAAAAACTAATCGGCCGAAATGGTTGAGATATTTTGTCCGCAGATATATCCGAAATCACTTCATCTCTTGTTTTTTATATCCTATGTGGAATAGAAACGAAAGCGTAGTAGTAGATAGGCAAAAGTAGCATTAGATAGTATGGAAACTCTCATCTTATGGGTTAGAGCTCGAGATGTTTCCTCTTTAAACGTCAGCTACTCAAATTTTACTCTATTGGTTGGTGCTAACTTTTTACATTCATTTACAAGAAAAATAAAATTTCGCTTTGAATTTTTTATGCTTTATTGATAGAATATACCCTCATTCCCGCAATTACATTTTTTCTTTTTCTCTAGTTAATAAGGGTATAATTATTAAGCCCATTAAACTTAGCATATTCATATACATCATCATCACTATTATATGGATCCGGACTATTTCCGGGACTGTCAGGACCCGCTGGCAAACTTTTAATGTGGTTATTTAAATTCTTTTCTATGATTCGATTAAGGTTTTCAAGCAAAAATTTTAGGGATCTGGTATTGAAGTCGTTATTATCTACATGCGGAAATATCCACCTACTATATAATTTCATATGTTTTCCGTAGATTGCGATATTATATCCTTGTTTTATTACAAAATCAAGGTAAAGTCCGCACAAATAACAACAACTCTTTGAAACTGCTATAAACACCCTACTATTAATTTTCTTGTTGATAATTAAGGCCAATATTCCCAATTCCGCATGTAAATATGTATTACATTGAATAACGTCAATACCGTCAAGTAGTTGTTGTTCTCGTGTAGCATTGTCGGTATGTACGGTATATACTTTATTGATTCTTTCCATTACTTCAGGATTTTTCGAACACCTATCCATGAAACGGTTATATTTGTCTTCATCAATAAATCTTTTGATAATATTTTTCCACGAATATATGGGCTGTTTATTTATGATAACAGGATCCACTTTAATTATTTGAACGTTAGAGAATAATGATTTGTATTGTGAATTACGTGCACATTCTAAGATACCTCTAACAGACACCATATAAGACCCCACTTTCTTAAGATGTTCTAAAAATTTTGTGGGGACGTTAGGATCATTTTTAACTACCATATAAAACTTGCTACAAATTTTGGATATCATCATCGGTTTTGTATTATTTTCCTTATCTGATAAAAAATTTTTGAAATATTTAACGTATTCATTATTGCCATAAAATCTAATATCACCCTTAAGCTTATTCAATCTATACTTAAGTTTAGTATATCAGTAATTCGCCACAGCTGTGAAAAAATTATATTCGGTATCGCCTGATTTCACCCGATATATTTTTCAGATAGTTCGTAATATTTTCAATATACTCATTATCCAACAAGAGTTCTTAGAAAGATAAATTTCACAGCGATCTTGTAAAATTCTCAACCACACTGCAACTACCTCATTATCCCTTGCAAGTATTGTTGCTAAATTGCGGGAAAATTTCTCCTCTACATCCAAGACATTGACTTCTTTACTTGCTTTACCGACAACAAAGTTGATACACTGGGCAACGCACCCTTTACTATACAACTCCTTCTTACGCTCTTCCTCACGCTCTTCCTCACGCTCTTCCTCACGCTCTTTCTCCTGCTCTTTCTCACTCAAAGCTTTTCGAGCTGCTTGACTGTATGACCTTGACATACTTAAATGAAGTATTCTACAGATCAAACAAGCGACGGTCTTAAAAATAGATGATCAAATCCAGCAGAAATTTTGTTCCAATAAAACAAAAAGACCTGATGATGAAGTCTTTCTTTAAATTAAGGCCTGGGTAGAGAGGAGGAGAAAAGAAATAATAATCAGTAATTTAAATAATAATTACGTTATTGAAGAGCCATTATATAATGTGTTTAATGTGATTTCATATAATTATGTTTTAACAATGTATTAATAAACTAAATATGCAGTGTCCATATACCGCGTAAATAGACACGTACTGAAAAAAAAAGTCGACAGATTAATTATTCAATTGATCTATTCCCACGATCTAACCCATAGATTTACAAAAAAATCTGACGGCATTTCATAAGACCTTGGCTCTGATCTCGATTCTATGAAATGTAAAAAGGGTACTATAGCACCATCCGTTCTACATAATAAAGAAAATTCCATTTTTAAATCTTGTGTAATATTGACAATAAACATTAACTTCAGAACGGTTAAACTGTATTTTTCAACAATTAGTGGAAAACGCCCCTACAAAGCAATAGGCATAATTTTTGGCCAGAATCACGTTCATGTGATTTTTCGGCAAGAAAACATTTTATACAAAATCGATTTTATACTTCTGATCACATCATATAATATTAATCAAAAATCGGATCAGTATTTTTTAAAATTGCCCAAAATGACAAGTTTTTTTTTGTTTTCTGCTAGAGAAGTACATTAAAAGCGTTTTGTTACAACCCATTTTTTGTCGCATGCTTTTTCACAATCAGACCAGGTAATAATAAGCCAGTTCATAATTGTTCAATCGGCTTTTTTGGTCATGTTACACTAATCTCATGATCAAAGTTCAATTTTGATTGATAAACATAAGGTAACCAATAGTTATGGCTTTGTTTATTTTTATCAGTATTTTTGTCTACTCGACCAAAATGACCTACGTTTTTAGTGGTTCACATTGAACGGTCAGTTGATCATTCTACAGTTAAATTTATTAGTCTGAATTTTTAGTGCAGTTGACCAAATATCCCATTCAATCAATTATGAACTGGCCTAATATTAGAGTGAGACGTCGCCTAATTAATCAAAGCTATGTCAGCAACATTGATTATTTTACTATAATCAGATTTTTCATGTTACATGGATCAATTTTTTTAAATTTATCCGTTAAGCAAATTTTAAATGATCACTTTTAACGTAAAATTAAATTATTTTTGATCAAATAAATTATCAAATAATATGTTTGCTTTTTTTTACGATCATTATCTTCAATATTTTTCTGAATAGCATCATATTACAATTGACACATTTTAAAATGTTTCACCGCATGATGAAAACATGGGTTTACCTTCAAATTTTTATGACAAGTCTATAGATGGTTTAAGAACAAAGTTACGTTCAAATATTTCTCATTATCATATAAAACTTTAGAGATTTGGTGCTTTATTAGTTCAAATTTTCTTTTAAGCAAATATATCAAATCATTTTTAAAATCTTTGTAAAAAAAAAAGTAATTACTTTGAGATGGTTCTTAAGAACAGTTTTCAACTAAAAGAAAGTTGAAAAATGTACATAATATTTGCAAAAATCTTGAGTTTTATTTCATAATAAATTATTATAAAAAATTTTATTTAATAAATTTTATAGTTTTGCATAGTATAAAATCTGATTATAGTAATATAATCAATGTTGCTGACATAGTTTTGATTAATTAGGCAACGTCTCACCCTAAGGTAATATGCACCATATAAAATAAATCAAATATTGGTTATTTTTGATTTTCTGATAAAATAGCATTTGGAGTCTGTTATATTACCAATCATGAACATTTGCGCGCGTTTTCACAATCATGATTAGGTAAGATGTATCTGTAATATTAATCAAAAATCTGTTATTTCTTAACGTTGCACATAATAACAAGGATTTTAAAAGCAAATTTATGGCTGTCGTAACTTTGCCTTCAATTTGCATACATAAAATAATAAACTAGGAAATGGGAACCGTTGGAGCGTCCGATTAAAAATTATTCATCTAAGATAACTCACTAAAGACTTTCGTTCTAACTTCTAAGTTACAATATAGTACTTCTTCTATCAAAATAAGTAAAAGTTTAACTCTTACTGCTTAAAGTTTTACTTATTTATTTAAGTTTTATTGATATCACAGAGTTACGTGTTTGTATATTATTTTTTAGCTATGCAAAATCAATATTAATATATTTTAACATAATAAACACTTAATACGTGACTAAATTTGTATATATATGTTGTGCCTCAGATTGATTCTTGCTTCAGATTAAAACTACCAATAGGATGTGATGAATTATGTATATACATGTGATGATCTATATAGTAAAATTACCATATATGTAATGCACGTGATCTGGTGTTAATCTCACGCAGCATGAGTTTTAATCTGAGGTAAGAATCAATCTGAGGCACAACATATATAACAAAATTTCATTCGTCAATTAGGCTATAGTACAAAATGACTTGCATTTGAAATATATAAAAGTAGAATGTCCTCATACTTCAGACAATTACTTAAATAATGATTTTGGAACATTACATGCCTTTATTCTTATAAATCGACATTGGTGTATCAAATTAATAAATAAATTATAAAATGATCCATTTAAAAAATAAGAAAAAAATCAAAGTTTACACTTATGTTAATTATTTGACAATTGATGTATGGAAATCTCCAAATATTGAATACATTGTTTGACTACATAAGCTTTTTAAAAATTATTAGAACAGATAAAATTTATTTAGCTATCTTGTTATGGTCAAAAGTTCAAAATGAAACATTAATTAGGAATAAAATATTTGATGCTATATTAGAACATTTAGTAATCAATTCAGCTAATTTAATAAAAATTCATTTAAATAAACAGTTAATCAACATCTTTAAACTTTGAAATGCAAATAATTTGATAAAATCAATTAAGAATTTTAAAGTTTATTATGATCAATTACAATTTGAATGTTTTGAAAAAATTATAAATTCAGCCTATAAAATATCTAAATTCATTAAAATATTGAAATTTCCTTTTTATGTGTAAGTCACAGTCATATATACTTCTCATACACTTAAATACAATTAGATTAATAAAAAATCAAAAAAAGTTAAATTCAATTATCTTTCAAAATATTGATTCAATTTTGTTATTTGATTTATTAAAAAGCATAAATTTAGAAAACATTACAATTATTTATCTGCAAGGAGTTAATTTTAATCAAAATTCAAATTTATTTTTTTTGAATGAGTTAACATTATTTTATAATTTAATTCAATTAGAACTTAATATACGTACTAGAAGTGCGCTCCAAATGAATCTAATCAATCTATCATCTGGATAATCACGTGATGAATCAATCCAGATTAAAAAAATCAGATTATCAGATTATCCACAAATTGATCAAATTGATTATAATTCTGGCCGGAATTAAGTAATCTACATGGAATTATCTTTTTTAGGGTATGAGTAACATTACACAAATCCAAAAAAAAGCTATTTTGTTTTTCAGAAAAAATGAAATTTTAGATTTCACAAGATTCTAAAAAAGGAAATTTTTTGCTGATCATCTAATTTCAGCTAGAATTTATGATTAGATATTTAATTGTTGTTACGTGACTACCGAATATATCGATCATCTCCATTTATAGTAATACCATTTCACAAAAACCAGTTTTTCTAAATTTAGTTTCTGGTCATATAACATAAAATTTCCTAAAAAAGAAATTTTTTGTCAATCCCATATAGAATTGATAATTGATCAGATATCTGATCATCCATCTGATCTATTTGACGGATTCATCTGAATCTGCCTATTTGACAGATTAATCCTAGGATGACCAGATTGACCAGATTCGGATTCTACCTTTAACACATACAAATTTATGTTTTTTTAAAAAAAAATTCATTGATTTTAATCATTAATAATACATCAGTGGATCTATTACCTGCAAAGTTATAAATAATATTTCTTATTATAAATTTTCCTTTATTTAAATCAATAAAATAGAAATTTAAAATATAGTTTATATTTGATTCACATTATTAGTTGCTTTAAATAACTGTATATTAAATGTATTAATTTTTAGCAAATTTATTAGCTATAATTAGTGATACTTGGCTAAACTCTTTTTACCAAAAATTTCGGTTTCGTCATAGTTAAGTTTAAATTTTAATTATATAAAATTATAGTTTTATTATAAAAATATATGAAATTATATTATACATATAATAGTTTTATAAATTCCTTTAAAAAATATTATATTTTAATATAAATTTATTATTTTTTTTTTTTATAAGTAATTATTATAATTAAAAATCCATGAAAATCTATAAAAAATCTATGGAAATACTATAAAATATTGAATTTTGGCATTTCGTCTTTTAATTTTAAATGTCTAAACTATTTCAGTTTAGTCAAATGACTAAATATTTTGGTTTCGCCCAAGATCTCTAGCTATAATTATTCAGAGCGTAGCAAAGAACTATTTATTGTACAGAATTAGATAAATTTGTAGTACTGGTTTAACCCATGTAATTTTTCCTTCCTTCTACTTATATCATCACCACAATTTCCTTTTTGAAACATAATGCCCTTGCTTATTTTCCTTTATACTTTTTATTTTTAGTAACATTATATGCAATGTTCTTGATTATTTAATAAAGCAAAATGTATCATGTTCATTATATAAAAAAAAAGACCCCGTATTTGAAAAATTTTGTTACGTCACATTACTCTGCATATCACATCTGATAAGATTAATAATCAAACAAATAAGTCACATGAAAAAAAAACTTTGCTTTTTTTCTTTGTTCTTCCCTTCTTTTTTTTCATTTTTCCCTTTTCTCTCTTTTCCCTTTCTTTTGTACTTTTTTATTTTTTTCGTCTTACTCTTTTTCTTTAATTTTTTTATTTTAATAACCAGTTTTTATCATTTTTTTCTTTTTTAGGCATTATTTCTTAGCTCTTTAGATACATAGAAACTTGGTGAGAACATCTGGAAATGTATTTTTTCGAATTTATTTATTCTAACAAAGCATTGTTAATATTCAATTTTTCTCTTTTTTTAGATGGTTGATGTTTAAAACAAAATACTGAAAATTATCAGCAGCGCTAAGGAAAAATGGTTTTTTATGAATAAATTTTAGTGTAAACTTGGCCTTTTCAGACTTTTTTTTATTTTTCTTTTAATGAAATGTTACTAATGGTTCTTTTCTTTTTTTCTTTTGTAGGTGATTCTTTGAGTCTCTTAGACATATATTTTGGTAAGTGAAGTATTCTTTTTACTTAAATCAAT